ATATACACACTGCCTGAGACAACCTTATTAAGCAATACTTTATGATTCTACTGTGCTTGAACAGCAGAAGCTATATGTTATATGTTATATGTTATACTACAGTAGAATATAGCACGTCATGTATCAATGAACAGCTATTTATGTGAACAAGTTAAGAATGCAGGAACAAACACCTAGAACAATTTGCACTTGTGCATCATTATTTGAACTGTATTCTTTGATCATTAATATATTTGAGTAAAATGCCAAAAGGCCAATTTCATATGATAGATTATCTGGACACCATATGATGACCATAAAGAAAAAGACATTTAAAAGGACAGTGTGTAATCTTTCAGTATCAGTATAAATTATAATAAATAAACAAAATAAATACATAAATATATAGCAATACCACAAATTGTCAAAGAAATATAGATTAGCAGTTTAAGCACTTCCTATCCAAGCTCCTCCTTACTGATTAGCAATTAGCTACCTTTACAATTATGAGAATGTGAGAATGGAGTAAATCAGGTAAATGTCCAAACTCCCTGAACATCTATATATAATGTGATGACACAAGCACAGGGATTTAATGCTGCTTACATGGCTAGTCATCACTAGACCACTGTATGTGAAAATTACAGCTCCATTTGGATGTTAAGCTAGCCTGCCTTTCAGGTATCAAAACAAGTCATCTCTTTTTAAGGTCACGGGAGCCAGGATGGATGGGAAAATCTCTTAGTAGCTGTGATTTCCCTGTTTAAAGCTGCCATATCATCTGAGAGTGAAACATTCTTAACCCTGCAATTGCTCTACTTAAACAAGTAATTGGAGTGAACCTGGTTTGCATTGTCAGAGATGATTTGTAGTGTATGGAGATAGTATAGGGTTTCAGAGGCTCTGATGGCAACACATGGCTGACTGGCAATTTGACATCTAGCATCTGAACAGTGACAAAGTCACATGCTTGCCATTCCACATGGTATCAGAAAGTCATGGGGATTCCAAGGGAGTGACAGGCGCTTTGAATTCCAGAACGTGGATACTTTCATAGTGTGGGATGACTTCAGTAACGATCAGCACATAGGTACAGAGCATTTTCAGTGCCTCTTCTGCTTCTCTTCCTAGTCAGCTACTAAATTATTTGTATACATTTGTAGCGATGGAAACTGCCATTTATCTGATTATCAGAAGTTATTAAATAACAGTGGAAATGAATGTGTGAATACGTATTTGAACGGAGCTTCTTATATGTGACACGGAAGCTCTTGCAGTCAGACAAATGTCTCAGCGCCTGATGCTATCACATGAGTCAGAGCTCTGGCTCAAGCTTCGACTTCGGCTCCTACTCCTCTTCCAGTCACTGCTGTGGCTCCTTCTACTGCTATGGCTCCTGCTGCGACTGCTCCTGTGGCTAAAGTAGCTTCGGCTTCTGGATCTGCTTCGGGGACTGTACCAAGATGGAATGCTACTTGCGCTGCTCGAGGAAGATGGACTGCGCCTGTAGTATGGGATGGGGCGTTTGCGAGCACTGTATGCACAAGAATAACAGACATGTTAGCTTGGTATGGATTTAGATACTCCATTGATAGATTACCTTAGGTCACAAGTGACACATAAGAATAACTCTGATTTTCAGAACTCCTATTTTTTAGGTTATACACTGCTTAATTTCAAGCTTGGAGATTAAGATTAAATATTGCTGACCTAAAACTGCTAAGGAGCAATTCTTTAATTCAAATAAGGGAAATGCTAACAGTGACAATAATTAATCATGTATGTTCGTATATTACAAACAATGACCCTGGTCTTTCAACTATAAACGTAATATGTGTGTAAATATTATTTACTTAATAAAAATTATTTGACTATTTGTCCACAACAAATACCCCATACCGCTATGCTTTTTAGTTAAAGCTTGGGGAAAAAACTGAGCTATGCAGGAGTAGGGTGTATATGGAAATATCAGGTCTACCAAAACTGAACTCTGTTCCGTTTGGTTTTCCAGACCTGGATAGAGTCGGATGTAAATGAATGCATGTCTGTTAAAGTGTTATTAAACCCTTCATATAAAAAATAATGTAGTGCAGCAGACCTCGGCACTAACCTTGTCTGAATTCCTGTTTTCTATTTTAGCTTGTAGTTACTTGAAATTTATGGTCTACAAACCCCCCCTTCCCTGATGCATATCTTCAGGTGTCTCCATCACTTTACAAGGTTTCATGGAGACACCTTTGTGTGCGAGCTCCCAGGTGGCAGTGTGAAGTTTTTTTTGGCGCCCGTAGACACAAACAAAAAGTCCATATACCTTGCTGCACTCCTTACCGGATATCTCTGAAATAACGGGTGCTTGTAATGACTGCAGATGGCGCTCCTCCAAATACAGTAACAATTCCAAAATGTCACCAGCACTCCAGCACAGAGATTCACATTAGTGCAAAACCATTTTATTGGTAAATGTCATTAAGAATAGGAGGGTTATTCACAAAGCTAGCCGAAGGATCAGCTGTAGCTCCTTCGGCTAGCTTTGGCCGTCTGAGCCCTTTGGTTCAGTAGAACCGAAGGGCTGCTGTACGGGCTATTCACTATGGCCCGTACAGCTCCCGAAGCTGGCCGAGTGGCTCAGCCGAGCCGAAGGCATATGCTTCGGTTTGACTGAGCCAAAATGAAACCTGAAGCGGGCCTCGCAACTGACAGCTGGGCAGAGCCAGCCGTGATCTCACGGCTGGATTCGGCCAGTTGCAATGGCAGTTCAGCGTCCATTTTTTACCTAGTAGCCAGGGGACGCTGAACTAATGCTGGATTCATTAAGAACTTTCCACACGTCAAGCTTCAGCCAAAAATCTTTTGGAGGGTTGTGAAACCATAGTGCCTGCCAACTTAATACTGAGTTCTCAGTTGCAATTAAATATGAGCGTCCCCAGGTGACGTCACGGCCGGCTCCGCCAAGTTGTTATTCTTTGGCTGGGACCTGCTAGAAGACTCTAGCAGGTCCCGGCCAATAGGAAACAGTTGGGCGGAGCTAGCAGATGTTGGATCGGCTGAGTCGAACTCCTTCAGCACTGTTCGGCCGACCCGAAGTCAGACGAATCTGGCTGTACAAGCTGTACAAGCCTGAAGTGAATAGCCGAACAGCGTTCGGCTCACTTCACTTCAGGTCGGTTGTTCACTCGGCTGCCTCCGTCAGCTTTGTGAAAAACCCTCTAGGTCTTTATGACATTTACCAATAAAATGGATTTGCACTATGCGAATCTCTGTCCTGGAGTACTGGTGACATTTTGCAATTTTTACCGTAGACACATATAGCTCCGGCGGGAAGCCACTCCCCTTTACCCCTCCTCCCTGTATACATGATAGCATCTGAAGCATGCTCTGTGTCTGTTCTCTGAAGAACAGTGGGATTTAGAGGAAGTGGGACCTGGAGCTGGACACAAAATACGTTCGGGCACTTAGGAGACAATGGGACATCTCAATCCACTGGGGCATATTTGACCTTAATGCTGAGAATGCATTAAGGTTAAACATGCCCAGCATTTAGTATTACTTTTAGATCCAGCATCACATAGAATAACATTTGCCTTCCGATCAGATCCACTTGAAAATCTGACAGATGGACCTAATTGGACTACCCATCTAAGAGGGACTGAACTTTTCCCCACATTTAATTGTAACAATATCATTCAAATAGATTTTGGTTAGTATTTATCTAAAAGGCTTGCACTTTAATCTAGCTCTAGTTCTCCCATGATCATTATAACCTAATCACACTGGTTTAAAGTGGCCCATTAAAGTGGCCACAGCAACTATTTATGATTTATGTGCAAAGCAACACCACACACACCCTGAAAACAGTGATTAGACAAGGTTGATCACAATCCCCTCCCCACCAATCATCAGAACAAGGGGGCACACTGTTACGAGAACTACAGACTCTGTCCCACCCCAGGATTTCTGTGTTTTAATAAATATTGAAATTTTGAAATAAAACTAAGCTATTTTGAGATATGTTTTCCCTCCCTCCATTTCATACCTCGTGATCCTTCGTGCCTCCAAATGACTTGGGGAATCTCTCCTGCGTTTTCTCATAGGGGAATAGGAGCTGCGCCTTGTTCTGGGAGGTCCTTTGCGTGTCCCATTTTCTGTAGAATTGTACTTGCTGCTTCTGTCTCTGTAGGAAGGAAACACTATATAATGCTGGGATTTATAATATACAGTGGGGCAAAAAAGTATTTAGTCAGCCACCAATTGTGCAAGTAGGGCTGTTTTATAAAACAAAAACTGAGGAGAGTAACGATGGAGATGTTGGGATTGAAATTGTTATTGGCTTGGCAATGACTGCTATTAGGCATCACACACACATCTTTCTTTTCTCCAGTTATTAGAAAACAGACCCATTTAAACCTTTTTTTTTCAGTAGTCGTGGTATTTCACGTAATCATTTGCTTCTTTAGAAGACTTACATGATTTGAACGTTTCAGAATCTGGTCACAAGAGTCCTAACTGACAGCAGTATATTTATTCTTATGATTGCACGGAATGCTGAAAATCCATTATTAGGTGAAACTTGGTCTGCTGAATATGCTATCATGTTAATTTAATACAGACATCAGCTGTTTGTAGATTACATTTTGATCTCTGATTGACTGACACCAGTAAAATGACGAGTAGTGCGTTGGTACACAAATAATTCTGCTACATCTGGCCATACGCTGTTAGAATTTAGGGAGATTCACAGGAACCTGATGAAATTCTTATGGTGGGTAGCCCTGTAAGACATGGGTGCATGATCACACGCCTTAGTCATATAAGCCAGAGCTCTAGGAACTAAAGGTAGATATATTAATCTATATCTAGATTAATTCTTCCCCATTCTTCACTGTGAGAAGAATGAGGAATAAAAGAGAAATAATGTATGCAAAGAATAAAAATGCTGGCATTTATCTATAAGTATCGGTTTGCAGATTCCTATTACTATACATTTCTGAAGGTGACTTTGTTGTCATTTTAAAAATAAGGGTAAAATTCCTTCTTAAGTATACAATATTAGGCAGGAATTATGTACAACAGCTGTATAATTCATATCTTATTATTATCCTAGTGACCCTAAATGGGGAAAGAATGTATCAACCCATTTCAATAAAAAAATACAAACCAATACCTGCTGGGGCTGTAGCGAGAATAACTTGGACTCCGTCGGGAACGGGAACGCCTGCTTCCATTACTTTTCCGGCCAGACTTGGAGGAATAGCTTGGAGATCTTGAATATGACCTATAAACAGTGAGAGTAGTTTCCATTATTTTAAATTTACTTTTGTTTAAAAATAAATCAATAACAATAGTCTAATGTATGGCTACAGGTCCTGATGTTAAAAGAAAGTTCATCAACACATTCCAAACCCCGTCAGCTCAGGCACAACTGTGTGTGGTTTTGCTCACACAGAGTTGTCATCTATTCGTAGTATTTCCTATGTAGTCCCATCTACCACCCCAGCAGACGGACACATCGTTCTCAATAGAGCACAAGTGCAGTGATGTCATTGCACTTGTAGTTCAGTTATTACTTTCTCCAGCTTCACGATTGAAGGTTCATGTCTTGGTATGGACCTGAGGCTGGGGGAATTGTCTGCCGGAGCCGGAGCATTTCACCCAAGACGTACTGATCACGGTTGCAATGCTTTGCAGGCTCCAATGCAATAAATGCATATATTTTCTTTTTGTGACATGGGTGCATTTATTTCTTTATTTATTGAGGCGCACTATGCCTTGATTGAGTTACATAGTGCATAGAAAAGTACACAGTTTGCAGAGGAGTGTGCATGAAACCAGAAATGGTATACATTATATATAATAATATACTAGATTAGGAATATGGTTGTCATAATAGGTAAATGTTGTAAAGTCAGCAACAATGTACCTTGCACCTGAAGAGGTTGACCTGCTTCGTGACCTTCTGTTTGAAGAGGATCTATAGGATGATGTATAAGAGCTTATGGAATGGCTTGAGCTGCTGGAGTAAGACCTCCTGGTACTCTTATATGATGAGCTTGAACGACGGCTACGTAAAGAATTTCTGTCAGGCGATAAGTCTGACACACTCTTGTGTTCCCCCAGGCAGCCCAGACAAGAGGACAGATCTCTGTGGAAGAATTACACACATCACTTATTATACATATCTCCAGTAATCTCGCTGTGATTATTCTGTGAAGATAAGAAAAATGTGTGCTGATTTGGGAGAGAAAGCAAATCAAACTAGAAAGATGATGCTACATCAAAGTTCCTTTTTTCTAAAAAAAAGACGCTTAATTTGTTTTCTATTTCAGCCTAGTGAGTATAAAATCTTTGAACATAATTAAAATGAGAACTAAGTAGATATGTGTGAAATTTCAAGGATTAAAACACTAGTCGACCTAAAAAAAGATAGTGCCCCTAGTAACATGGTTTTCCAGTAGGCCTAAAAATAAAAATACATCTAAAATCGTGCAGCATTTATCTCTGAAAGTGCAAAGCATGGCTACAAAACTGGCCACACAGTACTGATATTTTGGTTATGAAGGGTAGATGGCACGGAGTGTAATAATTTGTCACTCCAACTAGTATCCCTGCTCGTGATCTTACCTCAACATATAGGGTTACTCTACAACCTATAAGGGCTCTCTTCACCACACACACAGATGTTCAGGTTAATGTATGTCCCCAGTGGGGTAAGTTTTTGTCTCTTTATCTGGTGTCACTGGGCCAGGAATTGTAGGAAATCTTGGCAGTTTTTTTTTTAGTAGAGTCAAAAGGTTTGGACCTCTTCCTGTGTTAAATGTTATTACTGCATGTATCCCTGCATGAGGGATTCCCCACTGGATCCTGTATGTTCTTTACATCATCAAAACAGTAGGACAAACATGCAGCAAAAGAACATCTATATTTGCTACAGGTCTCTTATTAAGAACTTGTTTAAGCTCAAGCATCAGTATAACAGCCAGGCAAGCAGCAAATTCCAAAGGAGAGGTCGGCAGTGGTAGCCTGTTCTCAATAAATCAGCCACATACATTGCTGTTCTGGCTCTGATTTGTCTGTATGTAATCACCTCTTAGCCTGTATCCCAGAGTCTCCCAAAGGGAGTGATGATTCCTTGGTAAAAGAAAAGGAACTAGCTGATGAATTCCCTGAATCCGAGATGTTGTCACTGTGGCCATTAGGGGTCTTTACTGAGGATGGGACATGTCCAAAACCCTGATGGGACGGGCTGTCTTTTTCCTGACTGAGCTTCAACACAGAGGAGCTTGACTGCGTTGAGGGAGTAGAGCACATCTCGTTGCCCGAGTCATACTCGTTTGTGACTTCCTTCTGACAGCCTCCATTATGCTCTGCTGTGACCAAAAGGCTGGGGACGGATTGGGAAATCTGAAAACACAAGACAGTGTTGACACATGTGGAACCCAAAGCTTGTAATGCAACTTGTCACTTAGTGCCACATTCACTTTCCAGAATAACTTCTTCTAACATTCTCCATATACTGTATATTTTATTAACGGAAAAGAAAAAAGAACAAAAATAAAAGGAGCGGGCAGTGAAAAAAATGAAACAGAAAAATCAAAAAGAAAAATCTCTTTACAAAAAGTCCACAGAGGAGCCTGCAAAGAGAGCTGCAATGATGCGGACACCATGCATAGTTTGGCATGCACCCATAGAGAAAGAATGACACTGAGAGAGAAAAACAAAATAGAAGGTATTGCTGTATATGTAATGCGCTTTTTTAATGGTTATACATTGGCACGGCAACTAGGACCCACAGTGCAGAGGAGGATTGCTATATTTAATATAGTTATTGAGAACTGTATGTTGGTTTAATGCATCTACAAGACAGGGACAGACAAGTACCTTTCAATACATCTGGTACCTAGCTATTTGTGCAGCTTGTCTAACCATAATTAGAAGTAAGGGTTACTGTATATGGACATTTTAGGGCTTATGTGAGCATGATAAAAAGAACATTTGCCCATAGCAACCAATCAACTGCCATTTCATCAGTACTGTTCTACACATGAACCATGTCTTAATTGCTATTGTCAACAAGAAAAGTTCTTAGCACACGCTTCTTACATAAGCCACTTTGTGATCTTTGCAGTTCAGTTTAATAGTATATATCTATATGTCAGTATATGTCAGTTCTGAAGAAGATGCAATAGGACATGATCTGTAATTGCTGCTTTGAAATGAATTCTGAATATTGATCTTTATCTTTGTTTCTGATATTCATATTGTTTTAATTACTGTTCATTTTGATGTGTTGTCGAAAGCTATTTGCTCTCACGCCTTTGTTTCCGCATGACTCATGCATCTTAAGTGCTTCAGAAAGAGACACCCTTCACATCATTTATGGTGTGCCTTGGCACATCACCTGCTGTATAGGATCTGACTGCTTCAATACTTCACAGGAAAATGTAGGCTATGGGTTTTTATGGAATGAGATTAAATATTACTCTGGACTTTTGAATACTGCAATGTGCATCAGGTCAAACTCTATAATGATGTATTTATTATATGGGTATATTTAACTTATTTACTGATGCCGCCAAAGCAGTCTAAACATTTTGTAAAACATAATTCAGATCTAGTAATTCGCTATGGAAGAAATTTCAATTGATTGTAAAAAACGTGGTGCCGTTTTTCATCTCTAATTAATTTCCTACTATTCAGCTAGCAAAATCATGCAGCGTTATTGCTTAAGCCCCCATGGCTTGGTAAATGTTTATACTCTTCAGCATGCAAAACATTAGTAAAAAGAAATCTAAAGTCTTTTAAAATGCATTTTAGATTAGCATGTCAATTTAAACTGCTAGGTTCTGTCACTTTGGCCATTTAGGGCAAAATAACAAGTTCCCTTGTAAGCAGAATCTTAACTCGCTGATAGGCACCTTCTCCACACTTCTCTGCTGGTCCATTTTTCTAATCCTAATTCTGTGTCATGTTACAGTATTCAGGCCAGGTGATTGGCTACTTGGGCCCAAGCACTGCATTGTAAAAGTAGGTCAAATACTTCCAGAATGCCCATTTTCTGTAGGCTGCAGCAGAGCAATGGAACAGAGCAGAGTAGGGGAACACACGAAATGCAATGACACATCAGTTGGGTTTGAGGGTTTTCTTACAAGAGAACCTGCCACTTTGCTTTGAATATATAAGTGTACATAGGGCAGCCATATTTTCTCATTTTGTACTCAGGTTATACTTACTCACTAGTTGTGCTACTGCAAAGTGATTGTGATTGCTGCTTCTCTCTGTTGATGCAATGTTAACAACATGACTAAATGCAACTGATTCTATTTACATTCAGTAAGGATTTTGTATTTCTTATAGTGTATCAGATATGAGACAAATAAGAGGATTGCCCTTGCTAGTATCCCTTTGAAAAGGATAGATGCCTGGTTGTGTCTGCTTAGTTTCAATACTTTTGAATCACAGACTTAGGACAAGCAAGTTTATTATGTAATCCCAGCAGCAGTTCTCTAGGAATGTTTCATACACGGCCTATTATACAGTACAGAGCCACTTAGTGGAATATCATAGACCTGTATATAAGGGCTAGACATGTGCATTCGGATTTGGACGAACCTTCAAATCAACAAAAATCAGTTGATTCGACGGTTCGTCCGAGTCCGAAATTACTAATTTATTATATGCCCGAGTATACGAAAACAATATTTGGGCATACATAAATTCATTTTCAGAACACGCCAGCGGCCATATTGGCCGCCGGCGTGTTCTGCACATGCCCGCTGCCATCTTGGAGGCGGAGCGTATGACATCACATGACGGTGACGTCACATGCTGAACGAGTGGCGGCCAACCCGAAGTGCAGAAGGAGTTTGACTCAGCCGATCCAACATTTGGATCAGCTGAGCCAAACCTCCAGCAGGCTACTCGCTGCTGTTCGGCCTATTCTTATAGATGCCGAACAGCAGTGAATGAATCGCCAAATGCCGCCAAGCGGCATTCGGCTCAGCTACTCTGCTCGGTACCTCTGTGGTACCGAGCAGAATAGAAAAACAGTTAAAAAAGTAGAAAAAATAAAATGGAAAACAATTGGGCGGAGCTAGCAGTGACAGCTAGCACCGCCGAACTGTTTTCTATTGGCCGGGCGGTTCTGCTGCCGTCAGAATAAGAAAAAAACACCATAGGAATGCATAGCTAGATTCCTATTGGCTATTTCACTTTGCAATAACCAATAGCAAACTAGCTATTGTACCCGCCCTCTGCTGCTGTCAATCAGCAGAGGGGACCTGATGGAGAACTTCAGGTCCCCTCTGCTGATTGACAGCAGCAGTGGGCGGGTGCAATAGCTAGTTTGCTATTGGCTATTGCCTAATTCATATGCCTTCGGCTCGTCTGCGCCCCTTGGCCAACTTCGGGAGCTGTACGGGGTATAGTTAATACTGACCTGGGGGTCGAAGCTAGCCGAAGGATCAGCCGAACCTACGGCTAGATCCTTCGGCAGATTTGTGAATAGACCCCTAAGTGTACAAAATATAAAAAAAAAAGGAAAAAATGAAAGTAAAAAAAAAGAAAAAAAACTGCAAAAAATTTTTTTTTTCAAAGTCCCCTGTGTACTTGCACATACAAATGCAAACTCGCGTCAGGTGCACCTACATGCAAAAACGAAAATTGAGCCACACGTAACATATCGCCGTGAACGTGAGTGAGAACAATATCTCTAGGGCCATTAATCACTGCTAACATTAAACTGATGAGCAGTAAAAGTTTTTAAAATGTCGCCTACGGGAAATTTTGGGTATTGTAGTTTTTGCAGTTTCGCATGCAATTTTAAGGCTTGACATGCGTGGTATCTATTTAACCGATGTGACCTTGTCTTTTTGTCTCACGCCTCTAACACAGAGTAGAGGCTGTGACAGCTCTTGCTTCACCAAGTTAGGTTACACAAACAGTGGGGAAGCCCGCTGTTGTGTAACCTAACTAACTTTTAAAAGTCGAATGCAGCGCTGCCTGTAATTAACAGGTGATGCTCTGCCTCCCCTGACCGCACGTCCCTGCCTCCAATCCATTTTGGTTAGGTCCAGCAAAATAGAACTCTGTTCTGTCTTCTTTATGGACCTAGACCCGGGGTAGGCAACCTTGGCTTCTGCCTCTGGGAGTCATGCCTGTGGCTTGCAATGACTTATGGGATTTGTAGTTTCAGCACAGCTGGAGAGCCAAGGTCGCCTACCCCTGACCTAGACAGACTGCATGATGCACATCCGCTTACATCTGACTTCCCATAGAGTTACATTGAGCTCCCGATCAGGTCTGCCTGAAAAACATACAGGCGGACCTGGTCAGAAGGCTGTGTAAAATTAACCTAATGGTTCTGATTTCCCTCCAACTTCACTAGATACATGCTTGTTCTATGACAGTGGAAGTATTGAGACCAAAGTATCAGCATGACAACAAGGCATCTAGAATTTTATGAAGGAGGTCATCAATACCAGCACACATATTTTTATTTAAGGCAAAAACAAATGATCTCTAAATCTGATTGGATCTTTAAATTGTTGGCAGGTTTACTTGGCCAAGAAAGACATCATTCCTATAAGTCAAGCTCTTATGTGCACTAACAGGATGATTAGGATTATGAATGGGCCTATAGGAGTTTACATATGGCCTTGTCCCATGTTGTACTGTTATTCATCTGATGCCGATATTCTGTGTTGTGTAGTAATAGTCATTTTATCTATATATTCACATATACATAATAAATAAATAAACAGCATGCTGTATTATGTCATGATGTCATGTGTATTTATTTTGTTTTCTACGCAGATACAGGCTCATCATCAGATTCATCATGAGCAGGTCAGAATATATTTTATACAGCAAAGGCCTAGAGTTTGTTCTGCAAGTCATGAGTGGGGATTAAAGTGGACAGGTCTTTTTACTATACTTTCATTTGTAGAACAAATATCTTTGTTCAGTAATTGTGATGCTTTGCAGGCAGCATCAGTGAGAACCACATTATATCAGTGTCTAGATACTCTAGAAATCAGTGTTGATATGTAATTGGTCTTGCGAGCCCTGCTGAGAAGGCTGAAGTAACTGTTTGCTTTCACCATATTTATGTGTCACATTTAATAGCTGTATATTTAAATCTCAGGCCTGCCTTGAAATCTGTTCAAGGTCATGGTAATTACAAGCTTTATACACAGCGGCTGAAAGTCACAATTAGTGTGATGTTCGATAAACACAGCCTTCAAATGATTGTAACGACCCTGTGAGGTCACAGTGATTAAACTAAACAAATGATTCTGGAGAGTCAATCATCCACAGTTGGTTCATGATTAGGCCAAAATGCTGTACACCGCTGAGCTAAAGAAAGTTTAAACTTATGCTTCAAACTTGTGGATATCTGTATT